GTAGTTTTGATTTGCATTTCTCTAATAATTAATGATGTTGAGCATTTCTTCATGTGCTTTTTAGCCATCTGTATGGCTTCTTTGGAGAAATGTTCTCCAATAGTTTCAATTGTCCTATCTTCGAGTTCACTGATTCTTTGTCTGTCTACTCAAATCTGCCTTTGAGTCCCTCTAGTGAATTTTTCATTTCAGTTTCTATACTTTTCAGCTCTAGAATCTCTTTCTGGTTTCTTTTGAGGTTTTCTCTCTCTTTCTTGATATTTACATTTTGTTCATCCACCATTTTCTTGACTTTATGTCTTCCTTTATTTCTTTGATTATGTTTAAGATGGTTGTTTTAAAGTGTTTGTCTAGTAGGTTCTCTGTGTTGTCTTTCACTGGGACTGTTTCTGTTGTTTCATTTTTTTCTTTTGATTGGGCCACAGTTTCTTGTTTCTTAATGTTAGCTTTTAATTATTAATAGTAGCAGTCCTAGAATGACTGTGACTTAATTTTTTCAAATTTCTGTTTCCTTATGTGTCAGATGGGAATTGTTACAGTTTATCAATTTGAATAATTTTATTAATGCAATAAATATTTACTGAGCTCTTCCTCCTATTTACTGAGCTCTTCCTAGGAGGCCCCCAATTTCTTTGTCAGTCTTTTCGTTGAGACATGGAGTCTCCCCTTGAATATAGGCTCTGTGGCTATTTGACGAATAGCATATATCAGAAATGACACTGTGTCAGTTTTCAGATCAGGCTTTAAGGAACTATCATCTTCCACTTTCTATCTCTTGGGACACTCACTCTTGGAATTCAACCACCATGTTCTGAGGAAGCTCAAGATGCCAGTGGAGGGGCTCACCTAAAGAGGAACCAAGGTCCCTGATTCAAAGCCCTGGGTGAGCTCTCAACTAACAGCATCAACTTATCAGCCATGTGAGTGAGCATCTTGAAAGCAGATTCTTCAGCCTCCAGTCAAGGTACCACTACTGATTCTACATAGAATAGAGATGAATTTTTATTTATATTATCTACTTACAACTTTTAATTTATTTTTAAATCTACTCTTTAGAATAGAGCTGTCCAAAGAAATATAATGTAAGTCACATATGTAATTTTATGTTTTTTAGTAGCCACATTAAAAAAGTAAGAAGAAGCAGGTAAAATTAATTTTACAGAGAAATTTTATTTAGCCCAATATATCCAAAATATATTTTCAACATTCACTGAAGATAAAAATTATTTATGAGATATTTTACATTCTGTTCACACTAAGTACTTGATGTTTTGGGATATATTTTACACTTACAGTCACATCTCAGTTGAGACTAGCTACATTCCAAATGCTCAGTGGCCACACATGGCTAGTGACTACTGTATTGGTGAGAAGGTTGCCTTATAATGAAAGAGTTGGAAGGCAAACTACATCTCTGCCCCTATTTTACAATGGAGGAAAGTGAGACCCAGAGGGAAGAAGTGACTTGCCCAAGGTTATGCACTGTAGTGGATTGAATTGTAGCCCCTCCAAAAGACATGTCCATGTCTTAACTCCTGTGGTAAAAAGGTCTTTGCAAATGTAATTAAGTTAATGATCTTGAGATGAAGACGTTATTACAGATTATCTGGGCATGCCCTAAATCTGATGACCAGTGTCCTTGTAAGAGATACACCGGGGAGATTAGACAGAAAAGGAGAAGACTGACACACAGAGAGAAGTTGATGTGAAGAGGAAGGCAGAGATGGGAGTGATGTGGCCACAAACCAAGGAAACCAAGGAAAGCTGACAGATGCCAGAACTTGGAAGAGTTAAGGAAGGATTCTTCTCTAAAGCCTCCAGAGGGAGTAGGGCCTGCAGACATCTTCATTTCAGCCTTCTGACCTTTGGCATTTTGAGAGAATAAATTTCTGTTATTTTAGCCATCTAGTTTTCCAATAATTTGTTATGGCAGCCACAGGAAACTAATATATACAGCAAGTTTGAAGCCTAAGCTTAAGAGCCCTTGGACTCCATTCCCAGCCAGAGCAACCTGCCTTCTCATTGCCTCTGAAATCTTTCAAGTGGCCAGCATTCATTCTTTTATAAGCAGAGTGGACCATGTGAGGGCTCTAACGACCTAGAGGGCCCATGCCCATTGTACAAAGAACCACTGCCTTTTCTCTACAAGGGGCACCATGCCATTGTCATCATCTCTTGCCTCCTCTATTCCAATGACCTCAAATGCTCTCCCTGCTTCTACTCTTTCTACCTTCAGTCTATTTTATGCATAGTATCCAGGGTAATCTTAAAAAAAAAAACCCCACAAATTATATCAGCCCACTTCTCTGCTCTCAATCCTCTGGTGGCTTCCCATTCTCTGGAGTGAAGTCCAAACTCCTTACCACATCTACAAGGCCCTGCTCTTTTATGGACCTTGTCTTGTACCTGTTCCCTCCACTCCAACCACAGAGACCTCCTTGCTGCTTCTGCAACATGCTAAGCACACTACTTCTCCAGGTCCTCTGCATTTGCTCCTTTCTCTTTCTGGAACTCTCTCTACCCTGATAGCCCAATGGCTCATCCTCTCACTTCATTTAGGTCTTTGCTTTTCATAAAGGATTTCCCTGGTGGCTGTCACTCTTCATTCTTTTACTGTGTTTTGTGTTTCTTTACAGCATGAATCTCCATGCCACCTAGTATAGATTCGTTAGTTTATTAGGTTAGTGTCCATCTTCCCCATTAGTTCTATGAAGGCAGGGACTTTTGTCTGTTTTATTTAACAGTGTGTGGAACAGCACGTAACAGGTGCTCAATAAATTCAATCCTGAATGAGTAAACAAATGAATGAGGAAGTAGAGGAATGCAGGCTCCATGTAATCATAACTTTTTTTCCTAGAGAAGTCAGAATCTGGATATTTAGGTGAAATTCTACCAAGGTGAACCAAAAAATAAATGTTCACTGGGCTGGCTGAAAGAATGTGTCCAAGGGCCACAAGTTTGAGACCCCTGCCCTATAGAATCTGGGTCCAATGGGAACTGTGTTCCTCATATTCAGATGGTGCAGCCCCTCCAGGAATTGAGTGGTTCTTCAGGATCTACCAGCCCTTGCATCTTTAGGCCCAGGCCCCATGAGGTACTGTTTGTTGTTACAGACCAAAGTCATCCAGAGCTCTTGGTTCAAAAGGCAGGATGTGGGCTTCAAGCTTCCAGCTCATCAGTTCAAAGAAAATCTACTTCAGCAGCAATGTCTCCTGGGATGTTTTCACAAGCTTCCCTGGGAGATGATGGGGCCTCTTAAAGGACTAATAATAGACAGGCACGTCCAGTTTCCCAAACAAGTCAACCTTAAAAGTGAATGCTATTTTTTCCTTGTTTCCTTTGAGTTACTACGTAGGAAAAGGACATTCTATTATGACAGCCATTGCTCTCCACATGCCACTTAATAACGACTTAGACTCAGCAGCTTCCAGGCAAAATCATCCTAGTAGGACCTGAGCTTCATTAGGCAGAAGTTCAGTGTAGCTGGTTCAATTCCATCCTGTCTTCCTTCACCCTTTTGTCACCAGTATGCTTTGTACTTAGGCAGGTTTAACCACCACTCAACAACAATGTGACTTCGGGGGTCTATCTTAAACACTCTGAGCTTCCTTGTCTTTATCCATCATGAAAGTTACTAGACCTACACAGGGCTGTTGGGAGGTCTAAATAAGACACTGCAAGTACCTGTGACACCCACCTAGCACCTGATGTTTATTATTATTGAACACCTACTGGACACGGGTTGGGGGTAGGGGGTAATGTCCTTTAAGCTTTCATTCACTCACTTGTTCACACAATTACTCACTTATTCAACCAATATTTATTGAGCTCTGAGAAGGTGTCAGGCACAGAGCTAGGCGCAAGGTGACACAATGGTGAGCAGAGCCTGCTCTCAGAGCCTAGGTCTAGTGCAGGAGCTCATAGTCTAATGCAGCAATGTGTTCCCAGAGTGTGGGGCATGGTGGGGGGACGTTTAGATGCAGTGTGTGGACGGGACACTAAATCACACAGCATTGTTTACGTAGACAATTATTACTCTTTTGGTTACCTTTCCATCCTTCAGATTCTATCCAGGAGAGAGTCCCAGTTGGATGTTAATGTCTTTAACATCTCTCTAAAATTTGTAAATCTCCCTTAACAAACAAAAGAAGGCCTCAGATGCTGGTGTTTTGGGCAAGTGGCAGCATCTGGAGAGATTTTCATAGTAAGGATACGTCTTGCTATTTGAACTCAGAAACTAGATAGAGATTTTTTTCTAGATGGTGCACAAGTATTACCAGCATTTGTGAAGATGGGTCAAGAATGAATGAAAGTTGAGGAAATACTGGCCTCTTAAATTTCTCCCCACGCCCTTTAATGACCCCATATCACAGCTGAGGAAACTGAGTCTCTTTGTGGAGGGGATGGACAGAAGGTAGGGAGTTTTCTTCTAAATGGTCAGGCAAGCAAAGCCAAGAATTGTCTTTGTGGTGGAGTTAGATGTGTATATATAAAGTAAGGATCGCCCCTCCCCTCCCTCTGCAGTAGTGTGTGCGTATGTGTGTGTAAGTGTGTGGAGCCACAGGCCTTTCCGAATGAGTGACAGCGGTAGCCCATCCCTCCAGGAGACGAGTGCAGAATGACAAATGGCACGGATACGGGGTGGATGGGTACCAGCCTCTGCAGAGGCCTGGGTGGAAACCGTCGCACCCACCCTTTCCACCCTCTACCCCCGTAGGCCTCAGCCCCCGTTCTCGTTTCCCCCGGGGCGCACCCAAGGTGCTCATCGCCTTCATGCAACCCAGGCCGAGGACGAGGTAGCGGGGGAGGCTCAGGTCTGGCAGTCCCTGGCTGCGGTCCCCGCGTCGCAGCGCTGCGGCTGAGAACGCTTCTCTGGGACGCCGGCAGCCTCGGGGTGCCAGTATGTAAAGCAGCTGGCGGCTCTGGGCGGAGCCTGGGGGCGATGCAAATGAGGGAGGCGGGGTCTGCCCGCGGCTCCGCCTCCCTCCCCCGCAGCTGGGGCCAGCGGTGCCAAGCGCAGCTGGTCGAGTGGCTGCAGCTGGGCGAGTGACAGCCCCAGCTCCGCGCGCCGCGGCCGCCAGAGCCGGCGCAGGGGAAGCGTCCGCGGCCCCGGGCGGCAGAGCGGCCGCCTTCTCCCGCGCCTCCCGGGCCCGCAGCCCGCGCTACCGCGGCCCCTGGCCGGCACCTCTCGGGCTCCCGCTCCCCGCGCGCAAGATGGCTGACCCGGCTGCGGGGCCGCCGCCGAGCGAGGGCGAGGAGAGCACGGTGCGCTTCGCCCGCAAAGGCGCCCTCCGGCAGAAGAACGTGCACGAGGTGAAGAACCACAAATTCACAGCCCGCTTCTTCAAGCAGCCCACCTTCTGCAGCCACTGCACCGACTTCATCTGGTGAGAACGCGCCGGCTCAGGGCACCTTCCCGGGGCTCCGAGGGTAGCGCCGCGCGCGGGGACCCCCTCTTCGCGTCCTCCGCGCCCCCCGCGCCTCCGAGGGAGGATAAGCCCCGCCGCGACCCCAGATCCCGGGCTCCCGCTCCGGACCCTTCTGTCCCGGACTCCCCCGTGGACAGTCCTGCGGCTTCCCGCTCCCCGGGGTCCCAGACAGCCAATCGCGCGGTGCCTCGTGCCCTCTCTTCCTCCCAGCTGCCTCGGAGCGCCTAGGGATCGCGGCGCGGGCGCCCTTTCTCCACAGGGCTCAGGGCTCCGCTGTCCCTCCCTGGGAGGGCAGCGCCTCGAGTGCCCTCTCGTGCGGGGTTCCCTATCTCTCTGTCTCCTTCCGGGCTCGAGGCACCCTCACCCCTTCCCTCCTTTCTGGGGGCAGCGCCCTGGGTGTCCTTTCTCCGTCTCCCTGCGGGCATGAGGCATTCTTTCCTCCTCCTCTGTGTCTCCGGGGGGCAGCGCCCCGTATTATCTCTTGCTTCTCCCTGAGGGCCTGGGTTCCCTTTCCACTCTTCAGTTTCCCCCCTTCACATCACTGCGGGGACTCTCCGCTCCCCGGTCCCTCTAGGCATGGGGAGTCCTCGCTCCCTTCCAGTCCCCCAGGGAATGCCATCGCCGCGGGGGCTCTCCCATCCTCCCACTCAATGCGTCTTTCTCTCTTTCCCCGAGGGCACTCGGGCATCTCTGTGGGCAGAACTCCCGCCTGTCCACCGCCTCCCACCAAGACGGAAACGCTCCCCCCACCCCGCCACCTGGTGGTCGCAGCCTCCTCTCTTCTGCCTTTTGAGGGGAGGTGGAGGTTACCGCTGAGCTCCCACCTACCCCCTCCCCCCCAGAGGCGGAAGACTCTTGGGCACCCGCCTGTGGCTGGGAGGTTGCACCTGGGCTAGGGGAGCAGGGGGAAGTGGGGTGACTCTGGGGGGGAACTAACTGGTGGCTGGGCCCCTCGGGCTGCCTGACATGTCTCCTTCTGCTTTTGTAGGGGCTTCGGGAAGCAAGGATTCCAGTGCCAAGGTAGGCTGTGGGGTTCTAAGGATGCTGTTTGCCGGAGGAGAAGGTGAAAAAGACTTTCTGGAAGTGACTGAGATAGGCAGAGAGTGAAGGAATTACATTTGTCAGAGTGACCTCCCAAACTAGGAGTTCACCACAGAATGGTCTTTAAAAGTGGTGTGTGTACATGGGGCAGAGATGCTCCATCCAGGAAGGACCAGTGGAGCTGGGAGGCTCAGCTGGCCAAGGAAGTACATCCATCCTTTCTCCCTAACCAGCACCAGAAGAGTCAAAATAGGTTCTCCTGAACCTATCCTGCCTGGCCACTTCTTCTTGAGATACCCTCCCCCCCCAATTCCTGTTCATGTGTTCTTCCACTTCCCCTGCCTCATAGAGGTCTCTACAGGTGGCCCCTGCCTCTGCAGATGGTGTATCCCCTAGGAATGCGACTGTGGTTGTCCCCTGGGCCTCCTCCCTCTCTGAAAGAAGTGGTTCCATTTGGGGTGCTTCTCAGATCCTGGTTTAAATTGCCCTTTCTCTCTTCTGGCTAGATACAGGAAGGACTCCAAGTGACTGGTTACCTGGGTCTTTGCATCGGGTTTGAGATCCTTGACCCTAGCCAGGGATGCCCAACCTAGTGGTGACTCGGCCGTCTCTGGTTGCAGATTTGCTCTCCAGATGCCAAATCATCTGTAGTTTTGTTTAGCCCTTAGGGTGCCAAACATGTTTTGAATTTGATGCCAACATTTTAGAACTGGGAGATTTCACAAAGTATCTGACTTTGCAGCTTCAAGTTTGCTGAGCATTGGTCCCACTTTCTTTTTAGAACCATCATTTGGAGCTGAGAGCAGCAATTTTTGTGGACAGGGTGCACATGCTGCACCATTTTGTCTCAATCGATCCCAGCCAGGCCTGCTTCACCCATTTTTGGCCCCTGTAAGGCATTTGAGTTTGCAACCTCTGGTCTGGAAGGTCCCCCCTTTCCCCCATTTTAGACCAGGTCCACGTGGTTGAGTTTGGTGAGAAATATCACATTTCTGGGGAGTGTCTTAGGGGCAAGTTGATTGCCCTGGCGATCTGGGTTTAGATCAGGGGAAGAAAACATTTGAATGTTAAAGAGTCTGAGATGTGACTTAGCACTGACTGACAGTTCTGTTGTAGCACCTCCACCCTCCAGAGAAAAGTAAAGTGATCCCTGATGAGAGTGAGCGGCATTGTCAGTTATGTAGAGTGCTGGCAGTGTGGCACTGGTTTCTTCGGAGACTTATATGACCTCTCACCTGAGATCTGGGCAGAGTCCGCTCAGCCAGTGAGCCTCGTAGACCCCCAACCCCTGCCCTCTTTTACCAAGGTTTGGAGCCCCAATTACACGCACTGCACCAGAGGACTTCCCACGTTCCTTTAAATGGCAATAATTTCAGCCTTGGTGCACATGGTTGGATTGTTTTCTAGAACTTTGACCCCTTAAGCAGAATGCCAGGGGTGCCTTAGTGTGGGGACACGTAGAAGGTCTTTGAGGTTACCTCTCACTTCCATGAATCGGTTTCTGTCTTTGTCTCTTGCTGAGGTCAGGGGTGATTTTTGAACATTTTTATTGCTGCTTTCCTGTCCCACCTGCTCTGCAGTTATTAATGGTTGGGAAAGTTAACTTCTCAGTGTGCAGGTAATGACACATCTGAAACAGCAGATCTGTTTTTTCAAAGCCAGGAAAATGGTAGGAATTTTCTGGTGCAGTGAGTAAAGCAGAATTAAAGTTTCTAATGAAATATGGCAGCTTTAGAGGTAGTCATGTTTAAATTTTTTTTTTTTTTTATTGCCTTTCTTTTTCTCCTCTTCCTGAGAGGCAGTGTAGGGTAGTGAACATGTGCACAGGCTATCAGGCTACCACTGTGAGTTTGAATCTTGGCTTGAGACTTCCCAGCCATTTTACTTAGCCTCTCTGTACCTCAGGCTCCTTGTGTATAAAATGGGTCCATGTAACAATACCTACCTTAAAAAAATTGCTGAGCAGCTCCAAGTTGTTACAGTATATAAGGTGCTTGGACCAGAGTTCAGCACAGACTAAGCACTCAGAAAGTATCAGCTCCTATGATTGTCTCCAAAGTAACCCAGTGGTGGGGCAGCTGGTGTGAGAGGAGACTGGCTCTGCAGGGTTGCTTTGCTATGGAACTGGCTGCCAGGTGAGAGTCTAAATCCAGCTGTGAACGTCTGGTCGCCCTGTGTCACTGCTTTGGTAGTAAATTCCATTTGGGCTGGTGTGAGAAGGAGCAAGAGAGGGGAAGGGGCAAATTGACAGCCCTTGAAATTGAGATGCTTAGGATCTCATGCTTAGGGATATCCCGGAAGGTGACAGATTATCCTCAGATGTGCTCAGAGATACCTGGGACTAGTTTTGAAATCAGAGAGGAGTTCCTTATCTGAGCATTTTTGTACAACATTTTTCCTCTTAAAGTGAATCTAATTAAAATGGGATCAGTATGTTATAGAAAATACATACGGTTTTATTCTCTCACCAAAGTCAGAAGTTCAGAGCGCAAGGTGCTATGTTCCTTTCAGTTTTCTGCCCTACTGTCCCAGGAGTGAAAATTATTTCAGAGTCCAAGAAGGATGCTGGACTCCCCAGTCATCACAGCCTTATTTCAGCCAGCAGGAGGAGGAAAGGTACAGAAAGGTGAAGGACACATGCTCACTGTCCTGGAAGTTGCCTCTGATACTTCTGCCTATATGCTATTAGCTAGAACTTAATCACATACCCACACCTTGCTGCAAAGGAGTATGCGGGAAATGTAAGGTTAATTTCAGGTAGCCATGTTCCCAGATAAAAGCTATGGTGGGGGGTTTTCCATTTCAAAAGTAGAAGTGGATTTTTAAGAATAATGTCTATTGGGCTTCCCTGGTGGTACAGTGGTTGAGAGTCCGCCTGCCGATGCAGGGGACACGGGTTCGTGCCCCGGTCCGGGAGGATCCCACGTGCCGTGGAGCTGCTGGGCCTGTGAGCCATGGCCGCTGAGCCTGTGCGTCCGGAGCCTGTGCTCTGCAACGGGAGAGGCCACAGCAGTGAGAGGCTCGCGTACCACAAAAAAAAAAAAAAAAAAAGTAGAAGTGGAAAGAGGATCTAGTCCCTGCCTTTCTTGGGTAGGAGTTGTGTAGGATGATCATAAGGCAAAGAAACCACTGAGCCCTGTGCTCCATGGTGCTGCCATGGAAATTGGGGGTGCTGAGATGGCTTGAGAGAGGAGGGATGGGAAGTCCGTAAGCCATGGGAGATTGTGGATTTCTGTGTGCTCAGGGGAGTTTAAGAATAGACTTTCTTGCTTTTGTACAGAACTCTAGATTGACTGCTACATAATTTCTCCCTTTTTGTTTCCACTCTGTATTTTCTATAAAACCATTCTCTGTGAGGTAGTTTAAGAATGTCTCTGGTGACAGGGGACTGGAGCTGAGAATCTCTATTATGAAACCCCCTAAATTCTGGATTAGAAATAGGACTGCTCAGATAAGCAAGGCAGACTTCTCTCTGTGGTATTCTTTTTTTTTTTTTTTTGCGGTACGCGGGCCTCTCACTGCTGTGGCCTCTCCCGTTGGGGAGCACAGGCTCCGGACGCGCAGGCTCAGCGGCCACGGCTCACGGGCCCAGCCACTCTATGGCATGTGGGATCTTTCCCAGACCAGGGCACGAACCCGTGTCCCCTGCATCGGCAGGCGGACTCTCAACCACTGCGCCACCAGGGAAGCCCTGTGGCATTCTTTAGAGGAGCCACGGACCAACATTTGTGCTGTCATTGTAATTAAGACAAGGCTTTGGGTGGAATTAGGCTCTTGCCCAAAGAAACTTCTACAGTTGGGCAGAGAGAAAAAAAATTTTTTTAAGGAAGTCACTTAATTAGAAATAGGGAGGCAATAAAATATAGGGATTCAGAATTCCTAGCATGGGATTGGAGTCAGAACTGTGTTTGAATCTGTGCTCTGCCACCTACTTACTGTGTGAACTTGGGCAAGTCATCCATTTGTAGTGGCCTCGGTCTTCTCATCTGTGAAATGGGCTAATAGTACCTACCTCATAGGGTTGTGGTGAGGAGTAATGAGGTGGTGCAAGAGAAATATCCACTATCGATAACTCTAAGTGAGATGATCATTATTACTTGATTAGCTGTAGGAAACTGTGTCAAAAGAGGAGAGAGTTAATTTGGGAACTCATTAAATGACTATGTCTCTTTCGTGTATTTAGATGGGTTTCTTCTTTGGTATGTTTCTTCATAGACTTTAGGTGACACCAGTGAGTCTAGCCCCAGATAGCCAGCTTGTTTAGATTGTCTTTTTTCACCCTTCTTGTGAGAAAAATCTAAACTTGCCATGGACCCTCTAGAAGAACCCCAGTGCACTAATTTTCTGACTATGTAGACCTAGCATTGATGACTATAATGAGTAAACCAGCTCTTTCCTTTCTTGTATAGATTAGAAAAAAAGTTTTTAAGCCTTCTTTTTTTAAATTTTATTGTTTTAATTGAAGTAAAGTTGATTGACAGTGCTGTGCCAATCTCTGCTGTACAGCGAAGTGACTCAGTTACACACATAGAGACATTCTTGTTTTACACATTCTTTTCCATTATGGTTTATCCCAGGATATTGAATATAGTTCCCTGTGCTTTTTTAAGCCTTCTAATAGACATTATTCTTTTTTTTTTTTTTTTTTTTTTTTTTTTGCGTTACACGGGCCCCTCACTGTTGTGGCCTCTCCCGTTGCGGAGCACAGGCTCTGGACGCGCAGGCCCAGTGGCCATGGCTCACGGGCCTAGCCGCTCTGCGGCATGTGGGATCTTCCCGGACCGGGGCACGAACCCGTGTCCCCTGCATCGGCAGGCGGACTCTCAACCACTGCGCCACCAGGGAAGCCCAATAGACATTATTCTTAAAAATCCCCAAAGTATTGCATGAATACAACCATTGCTAGTTTCATCAACATCGACTTTACAGGATACAAGTTTATTTTAGTCTTTAGTTAACACTTTGAGATTAGAATATGT